AGGGCATCAAGGGTAGCAAATGCCATAAACTATAAGGCTGAGTCATCCAGATGAAGATTCCCAGGCCTCCTCCTCAGGCCTCCTCTGAGCTTCTTGCTGAAGTCTGAGGAGCTGTGACTATGATGCTCTAACAACTGAAAGGGTATTTCTGGAGGAGAGGCAGCAGCAGTGCTGGAGAGCCAGCTTTTCAGTACCACTCAGGCAAATCATTGTCATGAGAGCTTAAGGGAAAGATGGAGAAGTTCATGATTTCAATACTAAATCCTCCTTTGGGTGCCAGTTACACTCTTAGGAGATCAATGCCCTTCACTTGTGCCTAACTGCTATGGCTCATGCCCTGAGCACCAGTCTGCTCTCCTGCCTAGTTTCATTCTTTCAGGATCCTAAACAGGAAATGTGTGATTACTACTCATTTCATAATGGTCAGTCTGAGCCTTAACCATAAAAGAGAAATAAGTAAACTGAGAAAAGGGTCAATGAAAACTTCTACGGTTACCAGAGTCCTAGGACAGAGGTCTGACTCTAAAGGCCCCAAGAAAAAAACAAACAGAGAAGGTAATAGTAAAAAGAAGGAAAAGAACTTTAATCAACATGGTCATACTGGGAAGGCAAAGTGAGATCCAGCATCTCAGCCCCAACATCAGGTTGATGACATGAACTGTAGGTTTCAAGAGAGGAAGAAATGGAGCAGTGGGCAAGAGGTCTACATAGTTAAGCTGTTTTGGTTAAAGTGTGGTCTTGTTGATAATTTTCTCAGTTCTTATTCTGCAACATGGCTCTGAAGAAGCTCTTTATCACTTGGAAGGGGCAATTTCTACTTGTTGCTCAGGATGTTTATCTGGAAGGCTTCTGATCCTGGAAGGGCATGATTCAGTTCCCCTTAGATGATGGCTCCTGCTTAGGGGAGCAGTCTTATCCTGGGTTGATGTGCCTGCAAGTCTCCACTGCACAGAGCAATGACTGCAGACTTCTAGGCCCCACTCCAAAGGTCTTAGATATGATGATACATATCTTACATCAGTCTTGAAGGTGGACAAGATAAACAAGGTAAACTTAAGGCTAAGTTTACATAGTTATTAGATGAGCACTCCTTAAATGATCAACAAGCCTACCTGCAGAGCCCAGCAGGGGCCTGACTCACAGTTTAAGGTAACAAACTGAAGGCAGGGATGTCAAGCTTTATGCTGCTTTCAGTTATCCATGGGGTATCTGCAAGTCTAAGTAAAGGGTCACTGCTTTTAGCACAGTCAGTCCTTGCCCCTGTTACCCCAATTTCAACATTGTGTTCTGAACACAAAAGTATTGAGACTATGGTTTCTTTAATTACTTTTTCAACTTCTTACCCTGCTTATTTTACCTGCTTTTTAAAAATATTTTGCCTGAAGTAGCTTTTGTGACTACTTTCCAAAAACTCTTCAGTAGAATTCATTCGGAATGTTTCCTTAGTCCTGCCTGCATTCTATTTCTTCAATCGTGGCCAAGTAACTTGGCTTCTTTGACAGTCAACTGCCTTGTAAGTAAAATAAGACAGTGGGCCCACACACACCACATAGTTTCAGATTAAATAAGAGTGTATATTTATGTCTTTTCATCACCACTTTTTCCTCTTTCAGTCCACTCTGTAGTGGACAGTTAAATTTGCTGCCTTGTCTTGGAATGAACGCATTCATGGTTGAGGGCTCCCCTCCAAAGGACTTAGTAACCTGAGCTAATAATCCTCAGCAGGAAGATAGGGAAGTGTTATCACTTTCTCCCCTGGATCTACCACAAGATTCTGACTTTTTTTTTTTTTTTGCTTCCCTCTCTGGGTTTCTGTTCCCTTGCATGGAGTAACACATGAATGAGCATAATTTGAGTTTCCTACTTGATCAAATGTCTAATTCATATCAAAATCACAGAGCTTTTTCTTCAATATGTCTTCAAAATCCCAAGGATGCTCTGTGTATTAGAAGGGTCTGAGACTAGCGTTATCCATTACTGAAGGATTTGACACTCTTATTCTTTCTCCTCTTATCCTAGAAGCAATGTCAAAGATGGAAAGACGTCTGGTCTCTGCTGTCCTCCCTCTCTTACTGCTGGACTTGATGGATTGTGATCTCATGAGCCAGGCATGGACTGTCCCTGACTGTACCATAGCAGATAGCTCCCTATTGTCAAATCTCTCCTTCTACATCCCATTTTGTCCCTTGGCCCCAGGGCTGCATATTTTTGCATCATGCTCCAATGTTACAGACCTGACACAGACCCTGAGAGCAGTGCCCCAGGATATACAGGCACTTTGCCTCCAGGGCATGGTTCCTGTCCTGCCAGCTAATGCATTTGGTCACTCCCCCTTCCTACAGCTTTTGAGGCTACAGCTGGGCACCCTCAAGATTATATCTGAGGCCTTTCAAGGATTGAATCGGCTGCAGTACCTTTCCTTTGAGCATCATGCTCCCTGTTGCTTGAGTCTATTTCTCCCTCCGGATGCCCTGGTGCCTCTCACATTCCTCAGTAGTCTTTCCTTTCAAGGCTACTGCCTGAATTATAGCCAGAACATTCAGTTGCCAATCACCTTAGGCATCTAACCCTGGGGCACAGCTGTTTGATAGAGCTGCAGGAGCTACAAGTGCTCTTCTCAAACCTTGTACTTAGTTTTTCTCCTACAGCCATCCCCAGACCATGGTCTTCCTTCCTAGAGGTGTTGGATTTGTCTTACAACCTGAAGCTGAACCAGGCAGGTGTCAGAGCCTTGAATGGCCTCCAGCTCCATTCCCTGAGATTGGATGGCACCCCATTGAATGCATTAGGTCTTTTAGGCTCAGGACTGCTCCATCTGGACTTTCTGTCCCTTGTGGGTACAGGTATGGAAAAACTGCCTGGGAAGTGTCAGGTTATTTTGAGCTTCGAGCACTTGACCTTGGGAGAAATCGAATCCAAAACATAGAGGATGGAGATCTCAAGCTGCTGTTCCTTAGAACATCTCAGCCTTTACAGCAATGGCCTGAAATTGCTTCCCATAAAGTTTCTAAATGCCTTGCCCCAGCTTCAAAGTCTCAACCTTTCCATGAATAAGCTGGGTCCAGCCTTGGTGCTCCCAGATGGGCTGGTTAGCACAAACTTGAGAGTGCTAGATCTGTCCAACAATGAGTTATGTGTTCTGCCCTATGGAGCCTTCTCCTTTATTCCTCAACTTGAGAAGCTGTGGCTGAGTGGCAACAACATCTCCAACTTATCCAGTGAGAGCCTGGAGGGACTAAAGCAGCTAAAGACACTAGACCTGAGCTGGAACAAAATTAAGGTACTAAAACCAGACTGGCTCTCCTTTCTTCCTGCTCTCACCTCACTGAACCTGCTGGGCACCTATTTAAGTCATATCCCAGGCAAGGAGCTCCAAGGTCCCCAGAGGCTGAGCCATCTGCAGCTGGGTTCACTTCAGATGCTGGACTTCTATCCTCCCTGGCCTCTAGCTCTGCTCAGCTTAGAGATATGGGCAGAAACAGGTATCTGGTTTAATAACTTCAATGAAGATCCCTTCTTGTTCCTGGAGAAGCTGATCTTACAAACTTCCAAAGTGGTACTGTCTCCATACAACACCTCAGTTCATTTTCCTTCCCTGCGTCATCTCACTCTTCGAGGCGTAAGTTTCTTTGGCTTCTCAAGTCAACAGTCTCAGAGATCCTTCCCTCAGTTTCCTGTCCTGGAGCACCTGCACTTCTGGTCTGATTATGGGAGTACAGAAAACCTGCAACTATTTGGGATGCCCAAGCTTCGAGAGCTCGGGCTCGGAGATCTGAATTTCCACTATGAGTCAAGGTCAACAAAGCTGGAGCTGGTACTGAAGGAAGTGCCTCAGTTACAGGTACTGGCATTGAGCCACCTGAATCTTGGGAACCTCTCCATGTCCAGTTTCAGGGACTTGGACCACCTGCAGCTACTGCTGTTCAACTCTGAATGGACCCTGGGGTTAGACAGCAACCTTCAGGAGTTAATCCCCCAGATGCCTCAATATGTTTATTTCTCAGATGTCACCTTCACCTGCCAGTGTGAAAGCTTCTGGGTGGGGCCTTGGGCAACACAGGCCCCCAACACCTTTGTGTATGGGCTGGAGAAATCCATCTGCATGGCCAATGCTTCTGACTACTCCAAGACTCCACTGCTCTCCTTCCTTTCTCATCAGTGTGCACGTGATCTTGAGTTTCAGGGCTTTCTTGCCAGCTTTACTCTGGTGCTCCTGTTCTCTATCCTTGTACTGCTTGGCTGCCCCAAATGGTCCTGGCTTCACCATCTCCGGACTCTTTTTCATGTGTGGTGGTGGAAACTATGTGGGCGTGGCCCCAGAAGCCAATTCCACTATGATGTCTTTATATCCTACTGTGAGCAGGACCAAGACTGGGTGCTGGAAGAACTGGTTCCTACACTGGAGAAGTCTCCTCCAGCAGGTGAGGGCTTGAGGCTGTGCCTGCCAGAGAGGGACTTTGGGGTTGGGCAGGACAGGTTGGATGCCCT